GCCATTTTTACTACATTGATCCTACCTATCCAAGAGCATGGGAGATCTTTCCATTTTCTGAGGGCTTCTTTAATTTCTTTCTTTAAAGATTCAAAGTTCTTACGATACAGGTCTTTCACTTGTTTGGTTAGCGTTACCCCAAGGTATTTTATGTTGTTTGTGGCAATTGTAAAGGGTGATGTTTCTCTGATTTCTCTTTCAGCCCTTTTATCATCTGTATGTAGTAGGGCTACTGATTTTCTTGAGTTGATCTTGTAACCTGCCACTTTGCTGAAGGTGTTAATCAGCTGTAAGAGTTCCCTGGTAGAGTTCTTTGGGTCATTGATGTAAACTATCATATCGTCTGCACACAGTGAAAGTTTGACCTCTTCCTTCCCAATTTGTATCCCCTTGATCCTCCTTTGTTGTCGTATGGCAATAGCTAGAACTTCAAGTACCATGTTGAAAAGGTATGGAGAGAGTGGACAGCCTTGTTTTGTTCCTGATTTTAGAGGAATTGCGTTGAGTTTCTGTCCATTTAGTTTGATGTTGGCTGTTGGTTTACTGTATATGGCTTTTATTATGTTTAAGTATGTCCCTGTTATCACAGATCTCTCCAAGACCTTTATCATGAAGGGGTGTTGGATTTTGTCAAAGGCTTTTTCAGCATCTAGTGAGATAATCATGTGATTTTTGTTTTTCAGCTTGTTTATATGGTGGATTACGTTGATGGATTTTCGTATGTTGAACCATCCCTGCATCCTTGGGATGAAACCTACTTCATCGTGGTGAATGATTGTTTTGATGTGTTCTTGGATCCGATTTGCCAGTATTTTTTTTATTAATATTTTTTTTATTTTCCATTTTAAATTTAGATAAGAAACAAGGTTGCTTCACAAGTCAGTACGAGGTCCCTCTGCCTTTCCCTCCCCTCCTCCCGTGCCCTCCCCCTCATCCCCCCCCCGTTATCCCCTCATTCCCCCAGGGAGGGTGAGGCCCTCCATGGGGGTGTCCATAGTCTGTCATTTCATATAGGGCAGGGCCTAGACCCTTCCCCAAGAGTTCAGGGTGAGAGTGCACCTCACATTGTTCTATGGGAGTCCAGAGACCGTGTGTATACTTGGGATGGGTACTGATCTGCTGTCCAAGGCTCAATAGATTACCTAGGCCTCCTCACTGACACCCAGATTCAGGGGGTCTTGATCAGTCCCATGCTGGATTCCCAGGCTGATGCCTGGGATTCAAGAGTTAACCTTTGTCTGGTCAGCTGTTTCTGGGGGTTCAACCAGCCCAGTCTTAATCCCTTTGATCATCAGTCCTCCCTCTCTGATACTGGCTTTCTTGAGTTCAGCTCAGTACTTAACCAGCCAGTAAATGAAGTTTCTGTTTCCCAGACTCTCTGGCCATAGGATTGTAGGCTGGCACTCCCCAGATCTATGTCTAAAATCCATATATGAGAGAGTACATGCCATGTTTCTCTTTTTGTGACTGGGTTACCTCACTCAGGATGGTTTCTTCTAGTGTCATCCATTTGCCTGCGAATCTCATGATTCCATTATTTTTTTCTGCTGAATAGTACTCCATTGTGTAGATGTACCACATTTTCTCTATCCATTCTTCGGGTGAGGACATCTAGGTTGCTTCCAAGTTCTGGCTATTACAAATAAAGCTGCTATGAACATAGTGGAACAGACATCTTTGTTGTATGAATGGACATCTTTTGGATATATGCCAAAGAGTGCAGTTGCTGGGACTTGTGGTAGGTTTATTCCCATTTTTCTGAGGAATCTCCATACTGCTTTCCAAAGTGGCTGAACCAGTTGGCACTCCCACCAGCAATGGAGGAGTGTCCCCCTTTCACCACATCCTCTCCAGCATAAATTGTCATTGGTGTTTTTGATTTTAGCCATTCTGACAGGAGTGAGATGGTATCTCAGAGTTGCTTTGATTTGCATTTCCCGGATGGCTAAGGATGTTGAGCACTTTCTCAAGTGCCTCTCAGCCATTTTAGACTCCTCTATTGAAAACTCTCTATTTAGTTCTGCAGCCCACTTCTTAATTGGGTCCTTTGCTGTTTTGGAGACTTGCTTCTTGAGTTCTTTGTAAATTTTGGAGATCAACCCTCTGTCAGATGTGGGATTAGTGAATATTTTTCCCATTCTGTGGGCTGCCTTTTTGTCTTGCTGACTGTGTCCTTTGCCTTACAGAAGATTCTCAGTTTCAGTAGGTCCCATTTATTAATTGTTGATCTCACACTGTCTGTGCTACTGGTGTTATGTTCAGGAAGCTGTCTCCTGTACCAATTCGTTCAAGGGTACCACCCACTTTCTCTTCTAAGAGGTTCAGTGTGGCTGGATTTATGTTGAGGTCTTTGATCCATTTGGACTTAAGTTTTGTGCATGGCGATAAACATGGATCGATCCGCATTTTTCTACATGCCAGTCTCCAATTATGCCAGCACCATTTGTTGAAGATGCTTTCTTTATTCCATTGTATATTTTTAGCTTCTTTGTCAAAGATCAGATGTTCGTACGTGTGTGGGTTAATACCCGGATTTTCAATTCGATTCCATTGGTCTGCCTGTCTATTTTTGTGCCAATACCAAGCTGTTTTCAGGACTATAGCTCTATAATAGAGCTTGAGGTCAGGGATGGTGATGCCTCCGGACGTTGCCTTGTTGAACAGGGTTGTTTTGGCTATCCTGGGTCTTTTGTTTTTCCATACAAAATTGATTATTGTTCTTTCAAGGTCTGTGAAGAACTGTGCTGGGATTTTAATGGGGATTGCCTTGAATCTGTAGATTGCTTTTGGCAGGATTGCCATTTTTACTACATTGATCCTACCTATCCAAGAGCATGGGAGATCTTTCCATTTTCTGAGGGCTTCTTTAATTTCTTTCTTTAAAGATTCAAAGTTCTTACGATACAGGTCTTTCACTTGTTTGGTTAGCGTTACCCCAAGGTATTTTATGTTGTTTGTGGCAATTGTAAAGGGTGATGTTTCTCTGATTTCTCTTTCAGCCCTTTTATCATCTGTATGTAGTAGGGCTACTGATTTTCTTGAGTTGATCTTGTAACCTGCCACTTTGCTGAAGGTGTTAATCAGCTGTAAGAGTTCCCTGGTAGAGTTCTTTGGGTCATTGATGTAAACTATCATATCGTCTGCAAACAGTGAAAGTTTGACTTCTTCCTTCCCAATTTGTATCCCCTTGATCCTCCTTTGTTGTCGTATGGCAATAGCTAGAACTTCAAGTACCATGTTGAAAAGGTATGGAGAGAGTGGACAGCCTTGTTTTGTTCCTGATTTTAGAGGAATTGCGTTGAGTTTCTGTCCATTTAGTTTGATGTTGGCTGTTGGTTTACTGTATATGGCTTTTATTATGTTTAAGTATGTCCCTGTTATCACAGATCTCTCCAAGACCTTTATCATGAAGGGGTGTTGGATTTTGTCAAAGGCTTTTTCAGCATCTAGTGAGATGATCATGTGATTTTTGTTTTTCAGCTTGTTTATATGGTGGATTACGTTGATGGATTTTCGTATGTTGAACCATCCCTGCATCCCTGGGATGAAACCTACTTGATCGTGGTGAATGATTGTTTTGATGTGTTCTTGGATCCGATTTGCCAGTATTTTATTGAGTATTTTTGCATCAATGTTCATGAGGGATATTGGTCTGAAGTTCTCTTTCTTGGTTGTATCTTTGTGTGGTTTGGGGATCAAGGTTATTGAAGCCTCATAGAAAGAGTTTGGCAAAGACCCTTCTGCTTCTATTGTGTGGAACACTTTGAGAAGAATTGGTATAAGCTGTTCTTTGAATTTGTGGTAGAATTCTGCACTGAGGCCATCTGGACCTGGACTTTTTTTGGTTGGGAGACTTTTGATGACAGCTTCTATTTCCATAGGGGTTATAGGTCTATTTAAATTGCTTATCTGTTCTTGATTTAGTTTTGGCAAATGATAGCTGTCCAGGAAGTCATCCATTTCCTTTAAATTTTCGAATTTTGTGGAGTACAGGTTTTCAAAGTATGACCTAATGATTCTCTGGATTTCCTCAGAGTCTGTTGTTATGTCCCCCTTTTCATTTCTGATTTTGTTAATTTGCGTGTTCACTCTCTGCTGTTTGGTAAGTTTGGACAAAGGTTTGTCTATCTTGTTGATTTTCTCAAAGAACCAACTCTTCGTTGCATTGATTCTTTGTATTGTTTTCCTGGTTTCTACTTTGTTGATTTCAGCCCTCAATTTGATTATTTCCTGGCGTCTACTCCTCCTGGGGGAGTTTGCTTCTTTGTGTTCTAGAGCTTTTAGCTGTGATGTTAATTCTCTGGTATAACTGTTTTCCTGTTTCTTCATGTGAGCACTTAGTGCTATGAACTTCCCCCGTAACAGTGCTTTCAAAGTGTCCCATAGGTTTGGGTATGTTGTGTCTTCATTCTCATTGAATTCGAGGAAGTCTTTAATTTCTTTCTTTATTTCCTCTTTGACCCAGGGATGGTGCAGTTGAGCATTATTCAATTTCCATGAGTTTGTAGGTTTTCTGCAGTTTGTGTTGTTGTTGAATTCTAATTTTAAGGCATGGTGGTCTGATAAGATGCACGGAGTTATTCCAATTTTTTTGTAGCTGCTGAGGTTTGATATGTTGCCAAGTATGTGGTCGATTTTTGAGAAGGTTCCATGTGGTGGTGAGAAGAAGGTATATTCTTTTTTATGTGGATGAAATGTTCTATAGATATCTGTTAATCCCAGCTGGGTCATTACTTCTATTAGACCCTTTGCTTCTTTGTTGAGTTCCTGTCTGGTATTCTTGTCTAGTGGTGAGAGTGGTGTGTTGAAATCTCCCACTATAACTGTGTGGGGCTTTAGATGAGATTTAAGTTCTAATAATGTTTCTTTAACGAATGTGGATGCCTTTGTATTGGGGGCATAGATGTTCAGGATAGACACATCATCTTGGTGGGTTTCACCTGTGATGAGTATGTAATGACCTCCTTTATCTCTTTTTTTTCTATTCACAAAGAAAAAGCTCCAGTCCATCTTTTAATTTTTTTTTGAAAAATTCCTGACATTACAGAACTAAACTGAAATGTATTAATATTCCACTCTTACATTTCCATGGCAAACAAAAATTCATGAGCCAAAAAAATGAAAAAAAATGGAAAAAGGGGAGAAGCTTATAAAACTAAATATGGATATCTCAGCATAACTGCTGAACAGAGAAAGGAATTAAAACGCTTTGAATTAAAAAAATCATGAGTGGATGATAAAGTGTGTAGAAACTGAAAATGTACAAACTATTTAAAACCTGGAATCGCTGACTGTTGAGAAACTACACAGATGGATCATGGGTGGTGGTGAAGAGCAGGAAGGGATCATGGATGAACCTGCACTGCTCTAGCTGCTCCCCATGCCACCTGTCTCCGAGGAAAGCCTGACATTGATAAGATACTGGGCCAGGCTAATGCTGGCAGCAGACCCAGTGATGGTGACCTGCCTATCAGTAGATCCTTCCACTGGGTTTGCAATTTTGATCTGCGCCCCAGACATCTGACGGATCTCATTGATTTTGGCGCCCTGACGCCCGATTATGCAGCCAATCAAATCATTTGGAATGGTGAGTTCATGAGAAGTAGTTTGAGCAGACGCATCCAAACCTGCACTGAATCCGGTGTTGCCATGGGTCATGGGAAAATGAGACTGTTGCATTGCCAACTGGTGCAGCTTGGTCAAATCTGGCTGTGGAATTGCATACTGTCCTTGAATGGTATGGGCCTCTAGAGGTGGTCCCTCCAGGTCAGGGCTGAGGCACATGGACGGGGTGGTGTGGGGAAAGCTCGCACTGTCGCTGCCTGTGCTGTACCTGTCCTGACCACCTGCAAAGATGACTGGAGAACTTGAGGGCTTGGGCCGGTACGGGATGGTCACGCCCTTCGGAGGGGACTGGGAGAGAGTCTCCAACATGACCACGCAGATTTGTTTAACACACTCAATGATGGATTGCGGGATGCCAGCAATAGTGATTGCCCGCTCAGTTGAGTTGGGGAGCATATCCCCTGCCACCTGGACCTGAGCCCCTGTACTCTCTCTTATTTCCTTGATCTTGCAACCACCTTTCCCAATGAGAGAGCCACACTGACTAGCAGGAACCAGCAACCGTAAGGTGACTGGGGGTCTACTGGCAGCTGTGCTATTGGTCATATAGCTGCTTATGTCCTCTTCCAGTTTGTCAATGATCATAGCAAAGGCTTTGAAGATGGCATTAGTCGGTCCAGCCAAAGTGATAATTCTCTCAGGACAATTCCCTTCTGAGATGTTGATCCGTGCACCACTCTCCTTGCGCATCTTCTTAACAGATTCTCCTTTCTTTCCGATGATACTGCCAACTTCCTTTCCATGCATAAGTAGCCTGATGGTGAGAGTGACATTTAATCCACCTTCAATCACACCGGTGTCCATGTCTAGTAGTAACAGGGAGCTGGACTTGGAGTGGTCAAGTCTTTGGTCACTGGTGGGAGTGAAAGCCAAAACTGGAGGTGCGAGTCCACTGAGGGGAAAAGGGGAGCGGGCGGGAAGGGGAAGGGCGGGGAAGGGCGGGAGGCCAGGGGCGGAACAATAGGGGCTGGCGGGAAGGCGAGGGGTGCCCCCCGCTAGCGGGCGGAGGAGGGGGGGGGTGGAGGAGGAGGAAGGGGGAAAGAGACCCCGGGGCAGGTGGAGGGCGGCGGTGGGCGGCGGAGGGCGGGCGGGCGGGCAGGAGAGGGCTCAGGCTGCGGCTGCTCCGGCTGCTGCCTCTGCTGGTCTGGGCCCTCCTTTATCTCTTTGATTGATTTTATTTTAAAGTCTAGTTTGTTAGATATTAGGATTGCTACCCCTGCTTGTTTCTTGGGTCCATTTGATTGAAAAATTTTTTCCCAACCTTTAACTCTCAGGTAATATCTGTCTTTGAGGGTGAGGTGTGTTTCTTGTATGCAGCAGAAGGAAGGGTTCTGTCTTCGAATCCATTCTGCTAGTCTGTGTCTTTTTATGGGTGAGTTAAGGCCGTTAATATTGAGGGATATTAATGACCATTGATTGCTCATCCTTCTTCGATTTGCGATGGTTGTTGTTGGTGGAATTATGGGTGGAATTTCACCCCTTTGTTCTTTTGGCTGTTGGTAGAGAGGGATTCTCTAATGCTTATGTTTTTCTGGTTGTAGTTAGCTTCCTTGGGTTGGAGTTTTCCTTCCAAAATTTTCTGTAGGGCTGGGTTAGTGGACACATATTGCTTGAATCTAGTTTTGTCATGGAATATCTTGTTTTCTCCGTCTATAGTGATTGAGAGCTTTGCCGGGTATAGTAGTCTGGGCTGGCACCCATGGTCTCTTAGTGTAGGTAGAATATCTATCCAGGACCTTCTGGCTTTCAGAGTTTCCATGGAGAAATCAGCTGTAATTCTGATAGGTCTGCCTTTATATGTTACTTGACCTTTTTCCTTAGCTGCTCTTAATATTGTTTCTTTATTCTGTATGTTTGGGGTCTTGATTATTATGTGGCGAGGGGATTTTTTTTTTTGTGGTCCACTCTATTTGGTGTTCTGTAGGCTTCTTGTACCTTCATTGGCATGTCTTTCTTAAGGTTGGGAAAGTTTTCTTCTATGATTTTGTTGAATATGCCTTCTGCCCCTTTGAGGTGGATTTCTTCTCCTTCTTCTATACCTATTATTCTTAGGTTTGGTCTTTTCATGGTGTCCCATAATTCCTGGATGTTTTGTGTTAAGGATTTGTTGGATTTAAGGTTTTCTTTGGTTGATAAATCCATTTCTCCTAGTGTTCCTTCAACACTTGAGATTCTCTCTTCCATCTCTTCTATTCTGTTGGTAATGCTTGTATTGGTAGTGCCTGACTGTTTGTCCAGCTTTTCTATTTTCTGCCTTTGTTCAGATTGTGTTTTTTTTAATGTCTCTATTTCAGTTTTCAACCCTTGCAGCGTTTGCATTGCTTCTTGCAATTTTCTGTTTATCTGTTCGTCTGTTTGTTGCCTTTTATGAACTTTTTGGTTTGTTCTTTCTTCCATTTCTTGCATTTTTTGGTTTGCTTTATGTTCCATTTCTTGGATTTTGTGCTTTGTTTCTTCTTCCATTTCCTGCCTTTTTTGGTTTGTTTCTTCTTCCATTTTTTTCATTTTTTTGCTTTGTTTTTTCTACCATTTCTTGCATTTTTTGCTTTGTTTCTTCTTCCATTTCCTGCCTTTTTTGGTATGTTTCTTCTTCTAATTCTTGCATTTTTTGCTTTGTTTTTTCTTCCATTTCTTGCATTTTTTGCTTCATTTCTTCTTCCAATTCTTGCATTTTTTGGTTTGTTTTTTTCTTCCAATTCTTGCATTTTTTGGTTTGTTTTTTCTTCCATTTCTTGCATTTTTTGGTTTGTTTTTTCTTCCATTTCTTTGAGGGATTTTCCAATATCCTCTTTTAGGGCCTCTATCATTTTCATGAAAGTGCTTTTAAGGTCGTTCTCTTCTGCTTCCTTCCCATTGGAATGTTGGGGTCTTGCTGGTGTGGAGTCTCTAGAATCTGGCGGTGTCATATTTGTTTTTCTGTTGCTGACTGTGTTTTTGTATTGTCTCTTTCCCATCTCTTCTTTTAGTGGGTGTAGAAAGAGCCCCTTACTGGTCTGGGGACCAGAGTTTCCTTTTGGTGTGTGCTAGCAAGTCCAATAATCTGTTGGTTCTTCTATACCTTGCCCAAATGGTGGTCCGTGGGTGGAGAAGAAGAACAGGAATCTGGGGTGCTTAGCCTCCTACCTGGTCCCCTGGACCCTATGCTGGGTCCTGTTGTACCTGATCCGGAACAGCTACTCCCCTGGTCTCCCTGGCTCCTCTAGTTTCCTGGTCTCGTTGGTGGGAGAGAAGATCTGGAGTCTGGGGTGCTTGGCTCCCGCCGGGATTGGGAGCTCTGTGCAGTTCCCAGGCCATCTGCAGGCTCTGGAACACAGGCCGGGAAGCTGGCCTGTTTACCTGATGCTCCCGCCGGGATTGGGAGCTCTGTGCAGTTCCCAGGCGATCTGCAGGCTCTGGAACACAGGCCGGGAAGCCGGCCTGTTTACCTGATGCTGCCGGAGGGACAGCTACTTCCCTGTACTCCCAGCCTCCTCTAGTTTCCTGGTCTTGTTGGTGGAAGAGAAGATCTGGAGTCTGGGGTGCTTGGCTCCCGCCGGGATTGGGATCTCTGTGCAGTTCCCATGCGATCTGCAGGCTCTGGAACACAGGATGGGAAGCCGGCCTGTTTACCTGATGCTGCCGGAGGGACAGCTACTTCCCTGTACTCCCAGCCTCCTCTAGTTTCCTGGTCTCGTTGGTGGAAGAGAAGATCTGGAGTCTGGGGTGCTTGGCTCCCGCCGGGATTGGGAGCTCTGTGCAGTTCCCAGGCGATCTGCATGCTCTGGAACACAGGCCGGGAAGCCGGCCTGTTTACCTGATGCTGCCGGAGGGACAGCTACTTCCCGAGTTAAGGCCTTTAATGTTGAGGGAAATTAATGACCATTGATTGCTCATTCTTCTTCGATTTGCAATGGTTGTTGTTGTTGGAATTACATGTGGAATTTCACCCCTTTGTTCTTTTGGCTGTTGGTAGAGAGGGATTTTCTAATGCCTATGTTTTTCTCGTTGTAATTAACATCCTTGTGTTGGAGTTTTCCTTCCAAAATATTATGTAGGGCTGGGTTAATGGATACATATTGCTTGAGTCTAGTTTTGTCATGGAATATATTATTTTCTCTGTCTATATTGATTGAGAGGTTTGCCGGGTATAGTAGTCTGGGCTGGCAACCATGGTCTCTTAGTGTAGGTAGAATATCCATCCAGGACCTTCTGGCTTTCAGAGTTTCCATGGAGAAGTCAGGTGTAATTCTGATAGGTCTACCTTTATATGTTACTTGACCTTTTTCCTTAGCTGCTCTTAATATTGTTTCTTTATTCTGTATGTTTGGGGTCTTGATTATTATGTGGCGAGGGTATTTTTTTTTCTGTGATCCACTTCATTTGGTGTTCGGTAGGCTTCTTGTATCTTCATTGGCATGTCTTTCTTAAGGTTGGGAAGTTTTCTTCTATGATTTCGTTGAATATGTCTTCTGTCCCTTTGAGGTGGGTTTCTTCTCCTTTGTCTATACCTATTATTCTTAGGTTTGGTCTTTTCATGGTGTCCCATATTTCATGGATTTTTTGTGTTAAGGATTTTTTTGACTTAAGGTTTTCTTTGGTTGATGAATCCATTTCTCCTAGTGTATCTTCAATACTTGAGATTCTCTCTTCCATCTCTTTTATTCTGTTCCTAATGCTTGTATCGGTAGTACCTGACTGTTTGCCCAGCTTTTTTATTTTCTGCCTTTCTTCAGATTGTGTTTTTTTATTGTCTCTATTTCAGTTCTCAACCCTTGCAGTGTTTGCATTGCTTCTTGCAATTTTCGGTTTATCTTTTCGTCCGTTTGTTGCCTTTTATTAATTTTTTGGTTTGTTCTTTCTTCCATTTCTTGCATTTTTGGTTTGCTTTTTGTTCCATTTCTTGCATTTTTTACTTTGTTTTTTCCACCACTTCTTGCATTTTTTGCTTAGTTCTTCTTCCATTTCCTGCCTTTATTGGTATGTTTCTTCTTCCAATTCTTGCATCTTTTGGTTTGTTTTTTCTTCCATTTCTTGATTTTTTTTGCTTTATTTCTTCTTCCATTTCCTGCCTTTTTTGGTTTGTTTTTTCTTCCAATTCTTGCATTTTTGGTTTGGTTTTTCTTACATTTCTTGCATTTTTTGGTTTGTTTTTTCTTCCATTTCTTTGAGGGATTTTCCTATATCCTTTTTTATGGCCTCTATCATTTTCATGAAAGTGGTTTTAAGGTTGTTCTGTTCTGCTTCATTCACATTGGAATGTTGGAGTCTTGCTGGTGTGGAGTCTCTAGAATCTGGCGGTGTCATATTTGTTTTTCTGTTGCTGAGTGTGTTTTTGTATTGTCTCTTTCCCATCTCTTCTTCTAGTGGGTGCAGAAGGAGCCCCTTACTGGTCTGGGGACCAGAGTTCCCTTTTGGTGGGTGCTAGCAAGTCCAGTAATCTGGTGGTTCTTCTATTCCTTGTCCTCGTTCTGGCCCCGTGGGTGGAGAAGAACAGGAATCTGGTGTGCTTAGCCTCCTACCTGGTCCCCTGGACCCTATGCTGTGTCCTGTTGTACCTGATCTGGAACAGCTACTCCCCTGATCTCCCTGGGTCCTCTGTTTTCCTGGTCTCGTTGGGGGGAGAGAAGACCTGGAGTCTGGGGTGCTTGGCTCCCATCGGGATTGGGAGCTCTGTGTCATTCCCAGGCGATCTGCAGGCACTGGAACACAGGCCAGGAATCTGGCCTGTTTACCTGATGCTGCCCCTGATGCTGCTGCAGGAACACCTGCTTCCCTGGACTCCCTGCCTCCTCTGGTTTCCTGGTCTCGTTGGTGGGAGGGAAGACCTGGAGTCTGGGGTGCTTGGCTCCTGCCGGGATTGGGAGATCTGTGCAGTTCCCAGGCGATCCGAAGGCACTGGAACACAGGCCAGGAAGCCGCCATCCTTTC